TAGCGCTGCTACCCTCCAGTCAAGCGTAACGTGTTCTTTTCTTTGTTAAAGCGTTGAGACAAAAGGAGATACGGGGAATGTAATCTCCAGGTCATACTAAAGTGTTCGCTACAGCATAGGCCACTATTTCTAGTGGATTTTTATAGTCCTAATGGTCAAAAAATGGTTTTTATCTATCAGATTTCATCATGAAAGGATAACTTAAGAAAGTAATTACTCAATGTGTGTGATCTCAGTGGATTATTAAAGTTTCAGCACTGTGTAGTTTGTTAATATTAATGTTGCAATGCGTTTCACTGGGTCAATCTTTTACTTCCTTATGTTCATCTGCTATTGTCTCTCTATGGTAACTACAAAAGGTAAATTAATTTTTTTTATATGTAAAATTTCAAATAACCAAATATATAATTGATACATTTAATAGAATAGTTTCTTTAATTAATTGAGCACACGATTTTATAATTTAAATAATCATATGCAATAGTTATTTATTTATAATATGTCATTGCATACTCATGAAATATAAAGATTTATCAAGGAAGCGAAATAATTTACAGATACGTATAAAAGGCACAGGCTATTTTATAATTTTTATTTAATGAAATCGAGCTTTAAATTAAATCTATTTTCTTTAACCCGGAGATTGTGTTACGTTTCGTGGTTTAGCTTGACACAGAGCGTATCGCATGTCACTTTCATCTTACACTTTTCATCAGTGACTTGCCAGGCTGGTTGGTTCGGCTCACGGTGTCAGTTTCAGTGTCACTGTGCTCCAGCCTGTGACGTCACTACCGGCCAGTGTCTGGCGGGCTCGAAGTGTCAGCTGGGGTGATTTGGAGAAGCGTGTCAATATCGTACGTACATGTAAACATTTTTAAGAAAATATGTGTTTATTCAAATTATTGTGAACTTTTGAAAAAACTGTGTCTCGTTTGTTAGCCTGTTCAGAGACACACGCTATATCTATCTTCCTTACAAAATGCAGAAGATTTGGCCAGTGTCAACTCCGCTGCCATAACAGCAAACATTGATTTGTCCAGCCCAAACTGGATAACTGATAGAGATGAATCAACTTGTAACGGTGACGTCAACCTAGAGTCCGTTGTCGTGACGTGGAATGACACTACTCCGTTCACCTGGTTCAGAATTGCTGTCGCGGCCAGTCGTATGTTACCTTTTAATTAAAATCATTAATCATTTTTGCTGGATTTGTATAAGCACGGAGCATTCTTAATAAGCTTACCACTAAATTGCTTGGCATGTTGCCACCTCGAAATCAAATTAATTTTCAATCATGAAGCAATGTAAGCATTTTTCTCTGACTGGAATTTTATGTGTTAAGGCACTGGTGTAGGATTGGGGTGTGGTGGCCAGCCCCGGGGGCGGAACAATTAACTTTATTTGGAGCGGCACTATTTTTACGAACTCCCGAGATTTTTTCATGGATGGGAGGCGGATAAATGCTTGTCCCGCCCCAAGCATCTCTAACCCAAGCTACGCCATAAATATTATGGAAAAACCTTTCAGACCATCATCATTTTGCAACACAATAGTTTCAGTTTAAATTGAAAATGGGACAGTTCTACTAACTAATTCTGACACTTAAGGCATCGTACATTTGATGACATGGCTAATATCATGTAACATTTGAATGTCAGTATGATAAAAATGACATATTTTAGATTTAAACATAAATATTTCCACGCTGTGGCTTATTATCTTTTTAAAGTAAAATGATTTGGACAAAAAATGAATCAGGCGTATCCTTCCTAGTTTGAATCAGACAGTGAGTTGACTTAATATTTCGATTTGGTAACAGCTGGGGCAGCACGCTGCTAAACTGTGGGGAATAAATGGTTGTTTGTTTCTTTGGGTCCTTACCTTGAGTGAAAAAATTCGCACCGAACGAGCTGCTTTTAGATTTCTGAGATGAAATGGGTGCGAATATTCCTCGAAATTGTTTCAATTTTACAAATGCTTGTTGCTCCAACTGTTCTTCAAGCACATGAAACATTTTCAAACAAATATAATTAATTTCTTTTGTTTTTTATCAGTGAATCAGCATCGGTGAATTAACACACCAGCAGGTTATATTGAAATTCATTAGGCACTGAGTTTTTTTCTCTGTAGGATATTATAATACTTTGTTAACGCCAAAATAGTGTAATATTGAAAGGGAAAAAAAAATGTATTTGTTAACGATTCCATTGATAGGACCTATGCCGTGGTCATGCACAATATATATAATAGGGTTAATGTTAGGGTTAGAAAGAAGGAGAGAGAGAGAGGGTGGGGGAGGGAGTTAAAGATTAAATTTACTCCTAGTTACTTGTATGTATTGTTCTATTCTGTGATTAAAAAAAAAATATATTTAAAATGTCACATAAAACATATGAGTGCTTCTAAACTACAGCTGATATGGAGAACTTAACAGTCACCTTCAAAACAAGTGCAACGGAGATGACCGAAATGCCGTGCAACAACCAACAGATCTTTCTAGTAGACAATCACACAATGGACGTGAGGTGCAATGTGACGGTCGATGTAATGCAGGTGATCATCAGAGGACAGAGTGTAAAGTCGCTGTGTTCTTTTTATATTAGCGGGGGTGAGTACAGGTTTAAGGTCGTATTTTGTTTTAATTTAAAGAGAGTAAATGATTTAGAGAGTATTTGTGGGTGTAATAAGTATTACGCACTGTTACAAGATGTAACATATGCTACTTGTCGTTTTACAATACGGCTCCTGCGATAATAGTAACAAAGGATTTTAAAACAATGATACACGGAAAAACGATATCAAACATAGTTTTTTTTTTTTAAATCACCATAGAAAAAATAACGGCAAGGGAAAAAGTATAATACTGGGTGTTACCATTCAAAGAGAGGTCCGCTGGGACGAGCATATTAACAATGTATGTAACCAAGCAAACCAAGCCTTGGGGTTCTTAAGGCGAAATCTAAAGATTGGCAACTCCTGTGTGAAAGAAAGAGCATATAAAGCCTTTATCCGTCCGATTTTAGATTATGCATCTTCAGTCTGGGACCCATTTACCCAGAAGAGCATTGACAGGTTGGAGGCGGTCCAGCGACGAGCAGCACGCTTTGTCCTAAACCGCTACAGGAATACCTCTAGTGTTGGCAGCATGCTAGAAACACTAGGCTGGTCACCATTGGAGAAACGACGACGACAATCCAGGCTCTCCATGATGTACAAGATAAATAATGGGCTGGTCCACTGTTCCAGTATTAAACAGAAACTCGTCCCTCTCCCCCATAGACAGCGACGAGGCCATGACAGGCAATTCAGGCTCATACCAGCAAGAAGCCAGTATAGGAGCTGCTCATTCCTGCCCAAGACAATCAGGGACTGGAACCATCTTTCAAAAGGAACAGTTGAGGCGACAACACTAGACGCATTTGTGTCTATTGCCTCAAGCCTTCAAACCCCTAGTGCATAATTTCCTCATCACCACCAGTAACAGAAACATTGCAAATCCCATCTACATGCATAGGAGCCAAAATGATCAATAAATTGATCGTGGGCCCTTAAGATATAGAAGAAGAAGAAGAAGAGGTACACATGTTTATACAAACATACACAGAGAAGATCTTGTAAGACCCGTAGGTCTATTGTGCCTCTCTAACGTCTTGAATGTCTGGATGTCTCGTAAAAGTTCTACGGTTATAGCCGATTGTCGTAATTATAGTGGAGTGGAAACCCACCAGAACAGAAAGATGAAATGCAATCACCAGAGAGTATTTTACACTCTATACCGAACCTTCTGGAAACGTACACAAACCTTCCCAATCAACGGCGTTGGGAAAACGTATTGTCATCACGTATTATCAAGAAAACTGGTGACGTCAGTAAAAAAATAAAGACGGAGGTATGGGTTAAATGTAAAGGCTTGAATTAGGTCAACACACTTGCTATAACAATAATAGGCTATCCGATTCTAAACTATATTTGAGTTTTTTTTTTTGCCCTTTCGTTTTTAAACCTAATATTGTTTGTAATTTTAATAAATTGATTTGTGTATTTGCAAATTATATACTGAAATGAATAGTTTTAAAACATCTGACTTTCAAAAAATAAATAATGGGAAGGTATTACATTATTATTATTAGATCATATCATGCGTTACTGGTGACATCTCTTACCACAAATAACTTTACTTTGAAAAAGAATTGCTGAAATCGTTTGTGGATCTCCGACAAAATCAGTTCGTGTGGCTTACAGTGTAGCGATTTTTAGTTAAATTAATCGTAATCAGATTGTCATTAATAAATGTTAGATAAGGTATTAAAGTGCCTACGATGCATTACACCATAAACTTTATATTTGTATGTGACTAACTTTTAAATAAAGAAAATTGATTCGGTTGTTTCAAGTATCCCAAAATAATTCTTTGAAAATTAAGAGGGAAAACAAACTCTAACATTAAACATTTATATATGTTGTTCTCTTTTGCATATTCTTTAAGGTTAACGCATCTATCATTGTCAAATAAGTTTAACCTATAAGACATGTTTTATATCAATTCGGTTTTTTTTTCCTGAAAAAAGACTATTTTCGCTGGTGGTAATAATAAAGACAAAAATTTGAATGTAATATTTTCTTTTCCTTTAATTATTAAAGTCCTCTAGCAAAAATATTTGAAAACATTTAAATGTTTTTTAACGTAACACAGGCTCTATCAAGATTTAATCTTTAGAGGTAAAGGCTTAATTAAATTTTTTGTTATAATAAATATTTTAAAAGTATATATTTTAAATCCACTTTTTTTTTAATGCATCTTTACACCCATGCGTATTATCTTACTTAAAATAAATATTAAAAAAAATTGTGTTGGTGACATTAAAGACTTTCATTGTGATTTCTATTTGTTAAACAATGTTTAAATAAATCAATTTATTTAAAATATGCATATCAGTGGTCTTTAAATCCAGCTCACATCGATTTTTATATGTTGAAAAAACAACATATTTTACATTTTAGGTCGCAATGTCGCTTTAAGACAGAGTGCGTCTCAAACATCTACCTATGTGGAGATAGGGATTGATACCCAAGCATCAAACGCCATCGATGGCAATACAAATGGGAGTGTAGTTTACAACACCTGCTCACACACGGCCCACGAAGATCAATCCCCCAGTTGGAATGTGAAGTTTGATCGCCCTCAAGCTGTCTACAGATTTCTTTTGTATAATCGATTTTTTAATGGTAATGGGGGACTTTTAAACTTCTTTTCCTATAATTTTCTATGTTAATCAAGCTTGGACATGCTATCTGACAATAACTACTCTAGGCTTAAACCATGTGGCACTTATTTTTACTACTGTAAAAACATCCGGTTTAGAGATACTGATATTATCATAAACTTCAAAAGCCCACAGCACCATTTTTATGATGAACTCTGTTTTCGGGGGACAGTGGAAAAACAAATACTGTGGTACCTCGGTAAATACGTGCTTAGTCCGTTCCATATACTTGGACTTATACCCAACAGGACGTATACCAAACGTTTTTTTCCCATAGGAAATGAAGGGAAAATGATTAATCCGTTCCCATGGAAAAAAATCGTATTGTTATTGGCATATTATTCATTTATTGACGTGGCTGTATTAAATAATTTAAACACTGCTTAATACTTACACAAATAAAAAGATCTTAGGTGAAATAAATAAAAACATGTACCTCACTTTACCTTGGTGAGAAGAGTCAAGTGCTTACTTACGACGATAATGAGAAGGAGGAGATTGCATTGTTTTGAAGGAGAGTCCGCCTCCAATAAAACTTCAGGACTATGACATTCTATTGATTTTTCTTTTTTCTGTCTCTTTTCCCTAGGTGACCATGCTTGAGGCTAACCAGGTTTGACACTTTCTAAAAATCTGTCTAAAGAGCTTTGCTTCCTCCTCAGCATGTTTTGAAAAATGTGACATTGTCTGGTCATTTCCAGACAATGGTACTACGACTTGTTTGGGCTTTGTTGAAGTGTTGCTTCTTTGCAAAGTTTTTGACATCCATCCACTTAGCAAAGATTTCCTTGATTAATGAATTAGGAGCTTCCTCTATCTCCTCCTTCTCAGAGCCTGAAGAGAGTGCATCAATCCTAGTCTTTGCGAGATGTGTCATTTTGACACATACAAGTTCTAGCACGCACGCGGGTCGTATTCAAAATGAAGGTCGTTTACCAAGCAAAAGTGTTTTCGTCAATGCAAGACGTATATCAAGTTGGACGTATTCCAAATCAAACGTATACCGAAGAATTGTATGTTCTTAGTTTGAAATGAAAATCTAAATGATAATTTTCACGTGCTTAAGAACATCGGATTTTAAGAGATTACTTGACTTAGAAGAATAAGCCCATACATTTGGTGAAATACCTTGAGTAAATGTTGACAGACAAGGACTCACAAACATTACCAACATATATAGCAATGCTAAAATTCAATCTTCGAACTGCCACATTGAGGTGGTCGTTCTCTTCCCCCCCCCCCACCCGTTGCAGGTACCCCACTGCACACATTTACACCGACCCAAAAATGTATTACCTAATACGAAATAAATATAAGCAAACGTAATGTGAATCTGTAAAGTACATCTATATTTGACAAACAATTTTCTTTCAATATTGATGAAAGACCTACGCCACTAAAGTAAAATACAGTCCTGTTAAAATGCTTACATAACAAAATATTTATTTATTAAGCTGTGTTCTTCTTCAGGATAGGTTCGTTTCTAAAACCAGTTATCAACTATGGTGTCTTCTCCAATATTTAAGCATTTAGCAATTTAAAGACATTAACGGTTTGTTATAACCATGTAAAATAAGATGATAAACAAAGGTGCAATTTTAATTGATGTTGTTAATAATTATTTGAAAAAAAGAAGCATTGCGTTTTGCTTTTTGTAATAAAGACACACTTTTTTCTTCGAAGGAGACAATTTTCAAATTTCACTATAACTAATTCGAATGACATATGAAAAACTTTATATGTTTCCCCTAAATAAAAAATCCACACCTGCTTGAAATGCACAAATAATGCACAATTTATACTTATTTAATTTCAATATTAAATTTCAACTTATTCATTAATGTCCATTTTTCCATTCAATCCTCTAGATTGTCCTGATTTTTCCTGTTCCGACCGATTAAACCATTTTATTCTTCAAAGTGTTGATTCCAACAACAACACAATATGGAATTACAAAGACACAACTGAAACAGCTTTGTTGCTGTACATAGTAACGGTACCAGGCCACCTCAGAGACTTACCCGTCAGAGGAGTACAAATTACTGCTACAATTCACATCAGAAACTTCACATACCCATTTCTTACAATTTGTGAATTCGAAGCCTATGGTGGTAACTGACTTTTTGCTAAAGAATTCTGTGATATTTTAAAAATCATGTATATTAACTTGGCTCTTGTTGATGGCTGGCTGGCGGATTGAAAAAAATCTTTGTGGCTGGCTGGCCGACGGGCAAAATGTTGGGATTGCTTATTGACCCACTTCCCATCAACCTATGGAAATGAAACTTGGCACATAGAATCGATGCAACATATTTTCTAATTTTCATACCAACCCACAACCAAACCTAAAAAAAAAAAAAAACAAGAATTTTTCCTGTTTTCCTTCGCGGAAGATAAATTAAAATTCCCCATAGCTGCGCTAAATGAAAATGAGATTTAAAAATAAAAATGAATCGCAACTGCGTTTGGTGTTAAATATTTTCTTTTGTTACACTCAAATGGTTGGTGAAATAAATATGCTCTAAAAAAGCGGTTGGGAATTTAAATATTAATATATTTTAGGGGTGTGAAAAATTGTGCGGTTCTGAGCCTACAAGTGCGTTACTTGTACGCATCTTTTGTTAAATTTTTAGCCCCACCTCCAATTATCGATGTTACATTTATAAAGGATACTCATTGAAACAATTGTTGTAGTGTTTTTTTTAATAGATTGCACATTCCTTGCATCGACTCGAATGAAATCATGCTATACACTAGTAACTCATTTATGAACTCATTTATTGTTCTTCATTTATCAGAACTAAATTATTTTATTAATGTTAAATTTATCAGGATATGTAACAGAAATTTATTAATTTTAGAAATGGCGTAGCTTATTTTGTTTTTAATTTAAATAATTCAAATCTAATTAAAGAAAAACAATTCGATCACATTCAGACCATTCTTCAACAATAAAATTCTCTTTGATTTCTATTTTGTTTTATTACCGTATACTTTCGATTTTATATAGAGAGTGACTCATTACACAGGAGAGAGTCAACGTTTAATGTATGTTACTCTGATGTAAACCTTCTAGAATGTGCTCCTGGGACATGGGGTCTAGAGTGTAACAACCGATGTAACAGGAGCTGTAACACAACATGTCATGCAGAGACTGGCGCGTGCCCAGTTTGTATTGGATTCAGTAACTCACAGTGTGATCCGCGTACGTTATTTTCAATGACTTACGTTAACTGGGTATTGCTCTCTATGAATTGACTTTATACTTTTATCTCCTCTTTAAATCCTGCCACTACAAATTCAAAACTGTTCCTTAAATTACATAACATTGCGATTTCCAATACATTAATTAAAATGTCTCCATTTCAAAACAAATTAATGCAAATAACCTAAATTTGTGTTTAAAAAAATTATATTTCAACAGCGTGTAAGCGTGTAACCAGGGGACTGGGATGTTCTAAAGAATGCAGTAGCACTGGCTTTGGAAAATTGTGTAGCCCAATCACTGGCGTATGTGATAATGGATCCAATGGTTACAACGGTCTTTCTACGTGTACACCTGGTAGGTATTAATTCAAAATCAGTTCACACTTTGGTAACGTACAGTTTATGTTCAAGCTGTTCAAAGCGTTTATGAAACTGTAGATGTATCAGAGTTTTTGTTTTACATCCAGTGTGGACGCCCGAACCTGACAGGGAGAAACAATTATTTATTTCTCTATACTTGGGCCTTGACCAGGTGCTTTTTGTTACCAGGCCCGAGTAATTGTAGAAAATATCCAGTGTGTCCAAGTGTTTTAAAAAAAAAAAAAGTTAAATTCTCATTTTATCTAATAGGCAACGAAATCTACTGCTTAATGTCGTAGTAAGAGTTCATTGCATTCGTCAACCGCCTGTCTCTAGTAACAACCCATTGCTAGGAGCAGGTAGTTGTCGGATCAAAGAATAGTGATGACGTTGTAGGCATAAAGCTGGCTGCGTGACCGCCTTTTTTCACTCAGTATTATAGCTATAAAACGTGTGATTGGGGGCGCGGGTTCAAAAAGTAATCCATGCAAACACGAAACAAAAGATTGTAAAGGATTTTTTTTCCTCTTTCTCATCTAACATCTATTATTTAAAAAAAAAAAAAGCAACTACTAACATAAGTTAATTAAGGTACGCCTGCAATCGGTGTTGGAGTTGATGTAAGTATCGCTTATTTATTTGCGGGGTGCGTCCACGAAGAAATGTTTTTTTTTTCATTTTCACCGAGAAAATATCGTTTGGTTTTGTTGGCTTTTTACTTTCGTTCCGTTTTTCGTGCCGTCACTGTTGTAAGTCTTGGAAAGCGAGTCCGAAAAACTTTTGCCTTAATGAAAACTTAATGTCATATGAAAAAAGTTAAGGTCTATCGCTAATCATACAAAGGGTAATTTAGTCAAGCAAGCAAATGGGACATATTTATTGTTCCAAAGGAAAAAACATGCATGTAAGTATGTATGCCAAGTGTAACCAAGCCTAAACGAATTGCAGAATTAACTTTTTTTTTTGTGAAGAATTCAATTGAATTTTTGTTTTGGTACGTAATAAACTATAATGTCTTGTGAAATAATAATAATAGGCATTTGCAAATAAGTTTGTTTAAATAACTTGTACAGTAAGGCTACATTTAATAAATTGAGCTTAATTCATTGTATTATTAAACTATTAATGTAACGTTATAATATTACCAATTAAGAGCATAACTATCAGCATGACCATTCTAATATCATAGACCTAACGGCTAATTAAAAAAAAAAAATCCAATGATATTTGTAGTCGCAGTAACAGCTAAACATATAAGTATGATGCACGTAGCTTAGTGATATAATGGACAACCTTATGTAATGGACTAACTCAGTCCAAGTTGATTTAAATTAAACTAAGATCAAAAACCCGTTCCTTACGTAGTTCTATACTGTAGAGTCTAGAGTAACTTT